GATTCATGAAAATAGTGTAACGGAACGGCCGACATACAGGTTGTACGATCTGGTTGCAGTGTGGTGACGGCACCGCCCTCCCCTGCGCATAACAGAGATGTTGGTCAGCAGGACTAAAGGTCTTCTTTAGCTCAGCTGGCAAGACCCGGGTTCGAGCCCATGCAGTGAGCCATGAACTAGGGTGGGAGCGGCGAGGGCACAAGCCCTGGAACCCGAATCCGTTACAATAACAAAAGGACAGACAATGAAATGTGGGCTATTTCTAAGGCGCAAATGTGAGATAAAAAGTGGCAATTGCGAGATATAAAGTCATAATTCTGAGTTTTTAAATCGCAATTCTGAGATATTAAGTCGCAACTGCGAGATACCATAGCGCGTTTTTTTTAATTCCCTAATGGAAACGGGCTTCCATAACTAATAACCTTGTCTTAATTAACAAAATCTTCTTACTGATTCCTGGAACAATATTATTGAATCAACTAACTGAACACTAATCTTCAGTGTCAAGAGTTTTTAGTGACTAGTGTTACATAGCAACATGACAGTGTGCTACGAGAGGCAATCAGTACTGCCTGCCAGACTGTAATTCCTTCTGGTATTCAAGAACCACCTTCTTATACTCCTGTGCTCAGTCTTAGCTTCTGTACTAGTCTGTACAGATGATGTTTCCCATCAGCAGCGTTTGGTGTGATTGTTTGGGTCTGATGAATGTGGGTATGGGCAGGCAAATCAGCTTCCAGGAATTTGATGTCAACCAGAGTTTGACAACTGAAGACCATGTTTGCATATGTAAATAATAAAAAGTAATGGGCAAAAACTGAACCTTGTGGCACACCACGATTGATTGGGGCCATGGGGAATTTATGAGGACAAAGCCAAACAAAATGGAACCTGCCAGTCAGATAAGAGCAGCACCAGTTAAAGACAGCACCACCGACAGAGAAGAATGTTTGAAAATGATTGAGATGTTTTACTGTCTCAAAAGCTGCACTAAAATCAAAGGGGCATGAGAATGCTTACAGCCCCTGAATCAGATGCAACAAGCAAACCATTCAAACCCTTGACAAACAGTCTCAGAGATGTGATTAGAGCAAAAACTAGAGAGGAACGGTTCAAAAAGATCGTTAGCAATGATGTGAGCCTGTAAATGATGTGCATCCAACACAATGTAACTCCTTAGATAGAAATGCTAAATTAGAAATTGGTCTGTAATTCATCATTATATCAGAATCCAAGCCAGGCTTCTTCATTATTACAGTGACTGATGCAGGCTTTAAAAGCATTAGGGATCACTCCTGTGGAAAAGGAACTGTTGATAATATTGACAATAAGAGGGGCAGATGTTAGGCAGGCAAGCTATCAGTAAAGTGGTAGAAATTAGATTTAGGCAACAAGGGGTTGTTTTATAGTTGTTAGTTAAATCAGGTCAATTTACAAAAATTAGGTTCAATTCAAATAAATCTGGTACAGGGGGAAAGTCAAATAGAAAACTTGTCATTGCAAAATTTTCTCTTGATTTGCCTTTTGTGTGGGGCATGCATCCTGATTCAGATATGTGGGCTTCCTCCTACTTCCCGAAGAAATACTGCCAAGGATAATGAACTAATATTAACTGTTTTGGGTCGTCTGGCATCCAGACTGGCATTCTGTCCAGGGCGAGGTCCTGCCTTATACAGATGTACTTCTGGGTTCAATTCCAGGTTCCTGCAGTGCCCACCAAGAATAAGCAGCTTTGGAGGACTGAATGCTTTAAGATACTATAGGTAGCTAATAAAGGGAAATGCTGGAATTGTGATTTGGATTCCACTACCTACGTGTGGTGAATCATGTGGGTTAATTCAAACGATGATGTGGAGATTGTGGACTATGGTGACCAAGCCTCAAGTGCTTAAGCTTCATGAACAAATGGCACACCTTTCTCCCATAAAGCTACATTACCTTTGCTTGATACGTGACAGCAAGTGATAGCCAAGTTAATATTGCTTAAGCTACAAAGCACTTGGACATTGTTATTTGTATATAAATAAAAACATACAACATACAAGCAAATGATAAGGAGTTGTTATTTAATGTATGTGATTTGAGGTTGTGTCCCTGCTCTGTGATCTAAGAGCATAAGAAAGGTAACTAATGAGAGGAGCCCATCTAAAACAGCCACATTTGGGCTACAGAACCCCTCCTGCTTTCTAAAGGAGAGGCGTTACTGGTTGATTCACATAAGATCCCCAGATACTCCCCCACCTTTCAAGTTAAACACAGCTCTAAAAGCTCCCAACACCTCAGGCACCCAGTCCAATCACGGGTCTCTCCTCCTCACCGTAGACAACAAAGTCCAATCACAACTCATACCCCTCCTCCTCACCTCACACACCCCATCCAATCACAGCTCTTTCCTCCTCCTCACCTCAGACAACCAGTCCAACCACGGCTGTTTCCTCCTCCTCACCTCAGGCACCCAGTCCAATCACGGCTCTTTCCTCCTCCTCACCTCAGACACCCTGTCCATTTTCACCTCTTTTCTGTTTGTGACAGGGTTCATGACCAAGCTGCTGGGTGGCACTTCACAGTCTCATTTATAGCACTTGGAAGTGAGAACTTTGAAGACCTGAGGGGAAAATAAAACTACATCCACAGGTAACTAACATCCATCAACAGCAGGAGGAAAGTTGTTTTTTCTCAGTGTGAAAGAGAAGTAACAACGGATTTGTCAAACTTCATTTAGGAAAAAAAAGGAGAGAGGGGAACAGGAAATCCAAACACACACCGAAATGCACATTTGTGCCATGTTGCATTGTTGTTGTGTTTTTTTAATGACACAAAACACAAAATGAAACCATAATACACCTCCGTTTGGCATGGCTATTTCTCTTTTAAAAACAAGGAGCAAAACAAAAACAACAACAAAAAGATTTTACAGTCATTTCTTCGTATCTACAAAACGCAAAATAATTCAGGATTTACAGCATTATAGAACATTGACAAAACATTCCGCTGCGGAGTTGCGGCTCGGAGGGGGGCGAGGGGGCGGAGGGAGGGGGCGAGGGGGCTCCGTCACTCTGGAAGGAACAAGATAAAAAACATTCCGATACGGGATACGAACGCTGACGTCGAGGCCGCGAGGGCGAGGGAGGGGAGGCTGCGCTCACTGAACAGAACCACTCCGGCAGCGCGCGGAAGAGCAACACTGTGACGGCGGATTGAAAAAAAAACCAAAACAAAACACAAAGAAACAGACATCTTGAGGTTCCTCGTTTCCTTCATTCGCCGGTTTCGGGGATGGGTTTAAACCCAGCGTGCTGCTTTGTGAAACTGAAGCACATGGGCTCGGCGCAAAACTGGTCCCCTTTCTCTCATCGCTCAACTTCCTGCTGCGCTCCGGACTACGCTGTGGATATGGGACTTCATTACCGGTTTGACACAACATCTCTCAACGGCACTTATCCGGTTATTCAAATGCATGTCTTTTAGCTTCCCACCAAATTCTGAACAAATGCACCTAAGTCTAAAGAAACCGTATCAGCACCTGGCGGCTTGAAATAGTTTGGTCCGGCTCGTGTAGAGTTTGAGCTTTTATGGACCAATACACAAGCACCCTGAGAAGTTCACACGGGGACCTTAAAAAAAGCAGGCATAGACAGCATCTCGCTGTGGCTTATACAGTTGTCTTCATCTCCAATTATATTCATTTAGATATAATAAATTTGTTTAGGGGCAACATGGTGGCGCAGCAGTTACTGTTGCTGCTTCTCGGCGCTGGGGCCCTGGGTTCAATTGTGGCTCTGAGGTGCTGTTGGCGTGTAGTTTGTATGTTCCCTTGTGTTTACACGGGTTTCCTCTGGGTGCTGTGATTTCTCCCACAGTCCAGACATGCTGGTAGTTTAATTGGCCCTATGTGAGTATGTGTGTGTAGGCCCCAGGCCACTCTAACCCTGAATTGGGTAAGCGGTTACTGAAAGTATTGTGAAATGCATCTAGATAAAGCTTTTTATAGTGACATCTCCTCCTCTTGTCTGTTTGAAAAGCTCAGCTTTTCAAGTGTGGTTAAGATTTCTAGGGAATTAACTCACTTAAGACAATAAGCGTGAGTATGAGGCTTCACAGAAGTCTGCGACATTGTAAAATGAGAAGGAACACCTCACGTCTAAGATTTCTAGTGAGTTTACCAAGATCCCATCACCTAGAAGCAGGGCAATGTTAAGGAGTCAGCCATACAAGGTGAAGTAGGGTGGTCGGTGTCACACGGGTTGTGATTGTACTCGAGACGAGAGGCTGGTACAGGCAGGGCTGGAACGATGCAGGGAAATCCCAGCTAACAGGAAGCTGTATGCCCAGGTGAGGTGAACATGCAAACTCCACCCCAATCAGCAAGATGGGACCCAAATGCTCTGGGCCAGCAGAACTACCCACCTTTCCACAGTCCAGAACTTTACTTAATAAAGGAGTCAGAGTGCGGGAGATGAACAGCCTCAACACTGAGCCTACAAATGCAATAAGCACTCCTGCAGTTGGGGCAGCAGTTTAATCGTTATGAGATTTTACAGGAGTCTGACCCTCTGCCCCCGGGCTCACACTTCTGCTGGCAGATTCAGTTAGACCTTACTCCTGCCTCCAAAGGCAACCATTCAACTGCGGCCTCCTGAGTTTGTGTTATGAGAGGTGACTTAAGATGACTGATGCTGATCCTCGCAATAATGTAGATTTCACTGAAGAGGCAGGTTAGCTTTGGCCGCTGTGAAGTACCGATACGACAGGTCATGCGAAACAGCCCAGTCGCGAGAGAAAGAGAAAGAGGTTCAGACGGACTTGACAGTTTGGAACTGATGTCTGTGCAAGATATCCTGGGTGCGCTGCCCACCAACAACCACCCACTCCACTGTTAAGATTTTTATTTGGCGCTCGGGTGAAACATCCCTCAAAGAGGCCAAAGCACTCCGCGGGTGTCTGCTTGAATTCCCTGCACACTCACGTGCACATGGCTCCGCCCCTCCTTCGTTAAGGTTATTGCATGGACGTGGGGTAAAGGCTGCCCCCTTGTGGTCAGTACCGGTGGGCTCAAGGCTGTAGTGTGCCAGAAAAAGCCCCAACTTGGAAGCTCCTAAATCATCCTTCATCACAGTCTATAATAAATAAATTATACCACAGCTGAATAATATGTGCACCTGTTGAGGGCCCAGGGAGACGACTCCCTGGGCACAACCCTTATAAAACTTTCCTAAAAAACAAAGTAAAAGCCAGTTAAAAAATAAAAGAGTACCGTGCAGTAAAGCCCAATAGGAATAGTACTGAAAGCACAGCGAAGCACACCGAGAGACAGGAACCAGGTTGGTCACAGGAAACCCAGGTTGCGAGAGAGCACGACAGAGGCAGACAGAGCACCGAGTCTTTCCCAGAATTCAGACATATCACATGCTTCCAGTATCCTCATTCTCAAATTCTCTGCGCTGGGCAAATCTGTAGTAAAGAAAGTTTATATAAAAAAAA